CACACACACACACACACACACACACACACACACACACACACACACACACGTAAAATAAATAAGTAATAATGGTTTAACTTATACTTCACGCTACATTTACTTGACCATTTACTTAGGTCCATAAACATTTGGACAGAGACTTTTTTTCTTCTTCTAATTTTGGTTGTGTACATCACCATAATGAATTGTAAATGAAACAACTCGGATGCCGTCGAAGTGCAGACTTTTAGTTTTAATTCAGTGAGCTGAACAAAAAGATTGCCTAAAAATGTGAGGAACTAAAGCATTTTTTTACACAATCCCTTCATTTCAGGCGCTCAAAGGTAATTGGACAAATTAAGTATCTGAAAATAAACTGTTAATTTCTAATACTTGGTTGTAAACCCTTTGCTGGCAATGACAGCCTGAAGTCTTGCCCTCAACAGCTTTCAGTTGCTGTCTGTTTGTGGGTGTTTCTGTCCAAAGTTAAGGCTTCGACAAGTGAAATTCATGCTCAATTGGGTTAAAATCAGGTGACTGACTTGGCCATTCAAGAGTATTCCACTTCTTTGCTTTAGTAAACTCCCGGGTTCCTTTGGCTATATGTTTTGGGTCATTGCCCAGCTGTATTATGAAACGCCACGCAATCAGTTTGACTGCATTTAGCTGAATTTGAGCAGACAGTATGTCTCCGTACACCTCAGAATTCTTTCAGCTGCTTTCGTCCACTTGTTGTGGAGGGGTTTCTCTTCACCATGGAAATAATTCTGTGATCATCCACCACTGTGGTCTTCGGTGGACGTGGACGAGTTCATCAGTGCTTTCTTTCTTTCTCTGGATGTACCAAACTGTAACTTTAGTTTCTTCCTGACAGTGACTTTGGAAGCATCTTGGAAACCTGAATTGTATAAAAGTTGAGTTGGATATGCTTTCTTCTGAAGTGGGTAGATGACAAGCTCTTAGAAATCTACTGCTATGAACTTCTTTTATACAAAGGAATGAAAGTGTTAGTGGACTTGCCAAGGACAAGCAATTTTACTGAAGTGTTCCCACTATCTGTACAATAGCAAGAATGAGTAAAATATGTCTCTCTTCCTGTGTGAAATATTCTTTTAGCTCCAACTGTTTTCCTTGCTGAAAGTTAGATGAGCCTTTGAATATTAACTCAACCAGCACAAAAACTGTAGGCAGGGAGAGATGGATAACCCGGGTGAACCCAAAGAATAAAAAAAAAAATTGACTTGACAGATGCTGATCTGGAGCGAGTTGTATTGATCTTATTGATCTCTTTACTAAAAGTCAATAAGCATATTTCTTAAAATACTAAATATAAATTTGTATACAAACTCAACGGTGTTTCTATTTGAAGTTTCCTGGATTCCACAGTTCAACCCATGTGCGTGATATAAAAGGGAAAATACAGTTTGTATTTTTTATTCACAATATCTTTCACAGTTCTGATACCACAGGTAGCAATTTTACATGTTTTTATATTGAAGTATCAAATTTAATACACAGATATCACAGTATACATGATCAATTATCTGCTTTTAGGAAATTAATGTATGTCACTGGTGAACTGTCAGGGGCTGTTGATTACCATCAGTTCTCTAGATATCTAAACAGTGCTATTTGTAACCATGTTTCATAACATCATGAGCATTTCCCACAAATGGCAGAGAAAAAGGTCAGCAAGTACAAGTAATATAGTCCCCAGCATTCCCGCAACCATCAAAACGTAAGAGAAGACACTTATTTTGTAAAATCGATGATAAAACTGATTTAAAATGATATACTGCATAGATAAAGCTAGACTATTATGCACAAAATAGAAATAAGATTTGGTGGAACTTGGAATTTGAAATGCCAAATATGTGCAAATATGTGTGCAATGAGGAGGGAGAGCCCAGTTTGATAGTCTTGTTCGCTGGGCTTTTTTTATCCTCTCGAGCCTGTTGCACTGCTCTGGCTGCCCTGTTGAACGTTATGCTTTTGGGTCAGTGCTGAGCGAGATGGATCATGTCATGTACAAACCTGAGATGAGCACAGCTACGATAGCAGTACCCTGATTTTAATTTCAGGTTAAATATCCAAATATTAGATTATTACATCCCTGAATGCTTTCAGACTTTAAAAGCTCTGATTTGTGTGGGTCTCCCTGAAATAAAGAAGTCGCAGTGCCTACTCAAAACTGTTAAGGAGACATTTTGCATTGCACTCTAATGGCTTTTGTTTGGGGGAAGGACTCCCTGCCAATGAATGAACCTGACACCAGACTTTCACCACAGAGTAGGGAAACTCTATGGTCTCTGTTACAAGAGACTAGATTTTCTTTTCCACAGCACAATTTGTACTGTATAGCTCAACAGGATAAGTGAACTTAGGACCACATCGTGGATTTATCTGTAAATAATCTGTAAATAAATATCGCTGGAATTTAATTATATTCTGCAGCCTATAGATAGTTTGTATTTATTTTTTTAAAGATTTAATTATTTTTGCAGTAAAATAAACATTTTCAAGCCCCAAAACATTAATAACAATATAACGCCACATCATTGATCCATCATACGAATCAAGGTGTTATTTGTGCATTTTAGGTGCTCTATAAGTGAAACGCCATAAACCTCCGACGAGGGTATGGACACAGACAGTAACAGTATGTAAGGATGTGTCCCAAAAGTGTGTTTAAGAGCGTGAAAATGGTTTATAGGAGTGTGGGGCGGGTTTTTATAGCTTAAAATATATAAACACAGTTTTTCTAATTTTTGCTATGTAACTTTGCACTGTCCACTTTCTGCTGTAATAAAACAAATTTCCCACGTGTGGGACTAATAAAAGTTATCGTATCTTATCGTAACATAATAAAATAAACATATGGTTTCTACTTAGCAGATTTTCACCTCTCGGGAATATGTCTGAAGGTTTTCGGTCATCCAAGTCATCGTAGTCTAATGAGCTTGGAAAGAAAAGCATCTGGACTTCTTTAAGTTGCCTGAAAACGTTTCACCTCTCATCCGAGAAGCTTCTTCAGTTCTAGTTCTGAACTGAAGAAGCTTCTCGGATGAGAGGTGAAAGTCCAGATGCTTTTCTTTCCAAGCTCCTTAGACCACCTCTAAGGAACATATAACCCCCGTGATAATCAAGGAAATACAGTGTATGTGTTTTTGTTTTTTTTCCTTCCCTCTGTGAAAAATAATTCCATATCTTGATTGTGGCACTTTTCTATAAACCAGTTTGGTTTGGGTGGGATATAAATCAAAATGTAGCCACAATGTCTGACAGTTTCCTGTGTTTTCGGTTATTTATTTTATCATTGTTTTATTGAATGGTGTGGCCGGTTCTGTGTCTTCCTATCTTTCCTCTGTCCACCTGCGCACACCCTCAGGAGATAAAGTTAAAGTTGAACATCAGCTTACAGAGCACATCGGGTGAAATTGAAAAAAACCCCATCAATACTAATAGATTTTATGTCGGTTGAACTTTGATTTTCATAGGACTAGGAGGATAGGTGGGGTCAGAACAAGAGGGAATGACTCATGTCCAAAGGTCTTCAAGGCAAGGCAAGGCAAGGCAAGTTTATTTGTATAGCACAATTCAACAACAAGGTGATTCAAAGTGCTTTACAGAGACATTAGAAACAAGAACAAATAAAAAGCATGATTTAAAATTGATTAAAACAAGCAAATAAACTAACTAACTAATTAACAAACAAACAAACAAACAACAGTATATAA